TTCTGTTGTTTTTTTTACTTTTTTTATACTATTTTTATCATATTTATATATATATTTTTGATTTTTATTTGATTTCTATTTTTATTAATACATATTTAAATTTATTAATTTATTATAAAAATATATTTTTTATATTAACTTTTGTTATTATTTTTTATTTATTTTATATTATATTTCATTTTTAACTTCCATTATTTAACATCTATTAACAGAAACGATTAACTACAATAATATAACCAAATTTAAACCTTGCCGTAACCCTAACCCTAAGCCTGACTTTGATGCCTGGCTAAACCAAACCCTTAGTAGATGTAGCAGCACTCCCTTGCAAGTCAGGCTGTTTGTCAGTTAATGTATGTACTTTTCGTCCTCTATAAAAGTTTCTTACAGGTACATTTTTTTATAAAAAAAATCATGCTTACTGGGACAAAAAAAAACGGGTACACTAAAATGTCCCTGATAATGCTAATGTCCCCGTAAGTGTTCGTTTTTTTGTAAAATCTGTTCCCGTAAGTGCTAAGTTATACAAATATACATATATATATATATATATATATATATATATATATATATGTATATATATATATATATATATATATATATATATATTAATTTAATAAAAAATATAAGACTTTATCTGACATTAATAATATTTTGAAAAACTTGTAAATTTTTATTGGATAATAATTATTAAAAATGATGTTCATTGACACAAAATAATAATTTTAATTTCACACTGAAATCCCCAACAGCAGTACATACATCAAATAAGTATTTAGGTTGGAGAAGACAGATATATTATTACATAATCAAGAAAAAATAGGAAAAAATTTAATAACCTTTTCAACAAACAAACAAAGAATATTTAAAATATAAGCTAAAATTTACAATTTTATTTTATCTTATTATTATATATAAACTTTATTTTATTATTATATATAAATAGATATATAAATTACTGGATATGGCATAGATATATAAATTATGGCCATAGATATATAAATTACTGGATATGGCATAGGCAGAAAAAATTGAAGCCGGGCAAACAAAGAGTAAGGCAAAAAAAGATAATTCAGTTAAGAACAACATAAATACTATTTACATATTTACATTTTACATTTCAATTTTATGTAATATTCAGAGTTTCATAGAATTTTTTATTACTTTTTTGAATTATTATGCCACAAATTAACTTAGTATATAATTCGTATTTGGTTTTATATTGCAAGATTTATATGAATTTTATAGAAGATTAACTACATACATCTACATATATGTATATATTAAATATACATCTAGATATATGTATAATATATTTATGTATAATATACATACATGTTTGTGTACTATATGCTTAAAGACTTGATACTAGTATTGAAATGTGCTTTTGAATGTAAGATAAATCTGCTGAAGGGACCTGATGATATTTTCATAGGTAGGAATATAGTTCATAAACAAACTGTATATATAGGTATATGTATATATAACTGTATATATAAACCTAAATATATATATATATATATATATATATATATATATATATATATATATATAATACATACTTTTCTGTGTAGCTTTTAGAAGATATGTATAAATAGAAAATCTTAGCTAATCATTTTTAAATAGATATCCTTTGAAGTCAGGTAGACCAAGCAAAATAATTTTATTGCCTCTTCAGCAAGTTATATTTGTTTTTTAAAAAGCAAAATAAATGGTTAATGTTTACAAAAATATTTAAGACCTTATGCTATAATAACAATTTTTCTTTGCTAAAAATGTGTTATAACATTAAATTTTCGATATTTAAAACCAACCATAAGTAAAAATATTCAGAAACCTAAAATTTATTACACTAAACGAATCCTTACAAAATTGTAAATAAGAAAAAGTATAGGTGCAATTTTGAAAAAAATACAATTTATGAAAAAAGATTTAATAAGGAGATTGCATAGGTTTTAACAATCTGCAGTGATCAAGAAGTTATTTTATTGTACTGAATTCTTAAAAAAATTAAAAAGAAAACTTTTCAAATGCTTAATGCAACAAAAATTTTGCTTTGAAATGTGATTTCAAAGATTACAGAAGTAGTCTTGATTGTGATATTAAAGATTTAATTCTAAAAAGAATGATATGCATAAAAAAATTTAAATATTGTTTATTTGAATAGTTAGTCACAGTATTTCTAAAAACATGTATAAAAATAACTGTATATATACAGAGCTGTTAACAAGGCCAAAAGTAGCAAAGCCAAGGCTACATGTTACAAGGCCAAAGCTAAAGCTAAAAGCTACAAGACCAAATGTTTTAAGGTCAAGGCCAAGAATAAGAGTTTCATGGCCAAGGCCTATGCAAACATTTTCAAGACAAAAAACCTAAATTTTTACCTAATGATAAAGCCAGTTATTTATAAAACTGTAGGTAACAATTGCTGTGACAATAAACCATATGTTGTGAAAATAAACCAAGGTTATGCAAGTCAACAAGAAAACATATTTGAGGATTTATATCGAAGATAAAAATACATAAAAATAAAAAATGAAAAGTTTTAATTCTTAAATTTTATGTTTTTGTTTGAAGGCCAAGGTTAAAACATTTAAAGCCAAGACCAAAGCCAAGACCAAAGCCAAGACCGAGGTTTTAATTTTTGGTCTTTAGGCAAGGCCAAGGACTAACAACTATGTATATATGTATATACATAGTTGTTAGTCCTTGGCCTTGCCTTAAGACCAAAAATTATATATATATTTTATATATATATATATATATATATATATATATATATATTTCGATATATATATATATATATATATATATATATATATATATATATATATATATATATATATATCGAAAGAGACTTTTATGGTCTCTTTCGACTACAACTTTTTTACGTTGTCTCTTAAGCTGCATTTTATTGTCGTCGAAATGTCAAAGCAATTAAATTAATGTGGAAGTACATTAAATTTTATTGTTTTTTTAAAAAAACCGCAATAATAATGACCAGAAAGTTTTTTTAATTAGTGGTGTTTTTGTTTTTGTTTTGTTAAAAAACATTTTTTAAACATGCATAAGTGTTGCTACATCGACTATCTTGTAGCCTGCTTCTACAAGGGAGTGTTGCTACATCGACTATCTTATAGCCTGACTCGGAACAGAGTGCTGCTACATTGACTGACAAATAGCCTGACTCGCAAGAGAGTGCTGCTACATCAACTGAGGGTTTGGTTTGGGCAGGCAGTCTATCATAATAAAAAAAAATTTTTTTTTTTGAAGTTTTTTAACATTTTCTGGTCAGGCTTATTAACGCTCTCTTTAAAACAACAGTTTATGGGAAAAACTTTGTGACTACCATATATATATATATATATATATATATATATATATATATATATATATATATATATATATATATATATATATATATATATATATATATATATATATATATATATAATATATACATATAATATATGTATATATGTATATATGTATAATATATATATATATATATATATATATATATATATATATATATATATTATATATATATTATACATATATATATATATATAATATGTACATAAATAATATGTATATATATATATATATATACATATATATATTTATATATATATATATAATATATAAATATATATATATATATAAAAAATATATATAAATATATATAATATATATATATATATATATATATATATATATATATATATATATATATATATATATATATATATATATATATATATATATATATATATATACATATATGTGTGTGTGTTTGTGTGTGTATTTATGTTTGTATGTATCATTTATTGTCATGTATGTGTGTACACACACACATAAGTTATATGTGTGAATGTATATTTTTATATAATATAGATACATATATATATATATATATATATATATATACATATACATATATGTGTGTGTGTGTTTATGTTTGTATGTATCATTTATTGTCATGTATGTGTGTACACACACACATAAGTTATATGTGTGAATGTATATTTTTATATAATATAGATACATATATACATTTGTATATAAACCTTGTATGAATTCCATCTTTGATATGACTGGTTTTACACATTTAAAAATTACTTTAAACTAAAAAATTTAAATTCCTTGTCAATATGGATATACACCAAATGTTTATAATATACGTAAATATGAATTTAAATAATAGTAAATTTAATAGACATTGATAAAGATGTATATAAATATGGTTACTGTCTTCTAAGAACACTATCTTTTGGAAAACCAAATTGATTCAATCAAAATATATTGTTAATATTTAGACTATATATTTTATTTGTCAATATTACTTTACTATAAAAAAGCTGCTTATCATTGGATTTTTAGGTCTCTCGATCAACACAATACTATTAAATAGACTTAAGTCTTTAATCTTATCATATTTTATAACTTTTGTAATTTTATCATATAGAATATATGAGCTAACATAATGAATTTTGGATTTAAGTTATTAAACATCTAAATATTAACGAATTTTTATTTTATTTTTTTGCCTCACTCTACGTCACTTTTTCAATTAAAGAGCGGCTTCAAAATTTTTTCTAAAATTATAAGGCTTGGCATGCCTATACCATATCCAGTAATTTATATATCTATAGTCTGGGCCTATGCAATACATAAAAAATCAAATACAAGCTCATCATACTGCTAAATATATCAACTGTGCTTGACCAAACCAAATGCAATCATAAAAAAAATTCACTAAAATATATATAATGCTCTAATTAACAAAAGGGCTTCATGTTAAAAATTTTTTCTTTTAAAAATCTCAAAAAGCACCGCTCAGTTGCCACAGGCAGAAATTTCACCATGAACTGGTACAATAAATACAAAAAAATGTTTTTAACTTATTTTTAAATAACTGGTTTAAAATTTTTTGTTGTTGTTCTGTGTTATTAAACATAATATAATGCGCCAACAATAGTTTTAAACTGTAAACTTACTATTATCAGAAGCTTGAGGAAAGACTAAAATAAATAAATATACAAACAAATATAAATATAGATTCAAATTTAACATATAATATCATAGTAAAAATCATCATCATCATCCTGAAAATCATTGTGACCTTTAAAAAATCATAAAATAAACTTACTTTGACTAGAAGCAGGTTTAAGTAATGAAACTAAAAACAATATTCAAAAATATAAAACATTTTTATTAGGTATGAATAAACAATACTTATAATTTCAGAAATAGAAATATAATTATATTAAAAATATAAATTATTTTTATTAGGGATGAATAAACAATACTAATAATTTTAGAAATAATATCATTCAGTTTTACAAAAGTCATCCTAAGAGGATGTTTTAATGTCTGAAAAATCAGCCATGTTATTTCTCTTTGGAAACAATTATTCTACCTGCTATTTGTCTAGACATTAAACTTGCATTTCAAATTTAATCTTTACTTTAAAAAATAGATGATCTCAAATTATTTCAAAACTTTGAAGATACTAGTTATTACTTATCCTACTTAATTAATTTAAATAACACTTTGTTAAATACAAACAAAATCTTATCTTTTTAAAAATTCTTTTGCATGTGAGGTGAGATTGGTTGCTTGGTGAGGGTTGGTTGCTTGGTGATGGCAGTTTTTTAAATTTTTATTACAAAATTAAAAATTTTATTGGCAAATGAAATGCAAACAATAGATACCTAAAATTTACCTTTTTTAACTTTACAAATAAATCCATAATTATGCGTGCAAGTTTTGTCATTCCAACCTTTTTGAGATATTACTACGCAATCCTGCGTTCCATTACTATTATCTGGTTGACCATCTGACCAACTTGAAAACGCAGAAGATGAATTATCCGACCAAGCAAATGTTCTCTGAAGAGCATATAGACCTTCATAAATAATAAAATATAAACAAAATTGCAGAATTTTTACAACAAAAGTATATTAAAAACATAAAACTATCTTACCAATCCAAAAATGCTTTTCCTTCAAGCTGTCATTCTTAATGAAATTTAAAATAAATGAATTTTCTGCTTCATCTGATATACTTAACAGATTCCCTCCATAATTTTGACATAATGAAAGAGAATCATTCCAGTTTTGTGCTACAAATGTTGCATCTGTACTGCTGAAAAAGTAGCAATAATCTCTGAAACCATTACTACAGTTAACATGACTCACTAAATATGTAAAAAAACAGAACTTTTAATATGTAATAAGAACAGAAACTATTAAAAAAGAAATTAACAAACTAAGATATAAAGACAAAAAATTATGATATTTGCCTTGGAACAAAAAAATTGAGCTGGAAGAAAAAAGTTTGTCTAAAACAGACTTGGCATGGTAGGCAAGTTGTTCACATTGTTAATAGTACTGGAAATCTACATTTGCTTAGAGTTTTTTGAGGTTTTAAAAATCATAGAAAAACAGAAATGCAAAAAAAAAAAAATTAAAATGATTTTATTAACAGAGTTTTTTTATTTTTTTAGTTCATTTTGCTTAATTCGCATTTTTTTTTTTTGTATTTAATTTGTTTCTTTACTGAGTTTTTACCGTTCAATTTTTACATGTTCAATTTTTTCTGTTTTTGGTTTCTGTAAATTGAATAATAAAAGCAAGAAAAAAATTTTGGTTGACAATCAAAATGGTAATGTTATCTTGATAATTTTTTTTTGAGGTATCATCACAACTTACAATACACTTCTTCCAGATAGAGGGTTTAGGTACACAGTACAAGTGAAGGTACCCGGGATTTTTTTAAGCAGAAATATCAGAAAGACATAGTTAAATAACATTAGCCAAAAATTAAAATTCTACCTGCTCCTAAATTGAAATTTCATGTTTTTTTGTTTTTTTTTATTGGTAACTAATTATGTACCAAACGTTTGACGTCTATGGAACTACAGATAGTCTAATAAATTTCAAAATATTACAAGAACACATTTATTTTTTAGAATTAAATGTTACATATATTTACATATATTTACATATAAGTGTTTCATGTATTTTAGCAGAAAATAATAAAATTTGAAAAGAAGTAAATAAATCGGAAAAGAAATCATCAGGAGAGAAAATGCATAATTTATTTTGGATGTTGCAACAAGAACAAACAATGTATACTCCTACAAAATCCAGCTCAAATTGCTTTAAAAAAACTAGTAAGGAAGCAGTGCAAGACTGCAATATATAAGAAAGATGTATTTATCTTTTTTTGTTTTTTTTGTCATTTTAAATCTGTCACTTTTTGTAAAAATAGTTTTAGTTTCTTAAATCCATGATATATAAAATTTATTTACAGAAAGGAAAAAATGTTAAAAATGCAGAAATCTCCAGGCAAAGAGGAAGAGTTACTATTTCAATGCTTGGCAGAATACAGATGGTGTCTGAATTATGTCAATGTCCAATCTGTAGTTTGGCAAGGGACACTAGAAGTAACATAGAGAACTTAAGGGAGTTCATTGACCCCATCTTACCACAGGAAAAAAAAGTAGTCCAAATCCAAGTTCTTATACTGATGCCTCAATGTGTGGAGATTGTTTTCAATATATAGGAAGAGGTATTATATAGGAAGAGGTATAATATAATATAATATATAGTATATTATAATATAATATATAGGAAGGAATATAGAGGTATAATATAATATAATATATAGGAAGAGGTATGAACTTTTCCATAAATCATTGTAATTTGTATTATATGATTTATTTTGATTTTTTTTATTACTTATATCAACTTCAGTATCTTGCAAGTTTGAAATCTTAACCCTAATGAGATCCTCTTCTGACTTAGAAACTGCTGCCGTTTCTTTTTCAAATTTAAAACGCAGAGGTCTACAGTACATTGTTGATGATGGTCGTGGATTTCGCCAAGCTGGGTACTGTTTTCCATTTGAAAACCACACAAGTCCAATGGCACTAGGCAGGTCAGGAGTATGGTCTTCATGATCATCCTGCTATTGGTAACATGTAACCCAGTGCAACCTGTTCCATGTTCTGCTGCCTTGCAGGATTTGCTTTCTAAGCAAAGGCTAGAAGGAGTGTTCTTCCTGTCATCAGTACTATCTTATATCAGTCATGCCTATAGTATATATATTGTTTTTTGGTTTTTTTTGTTTTTTTACATATAGTTGGAGGTGGGTTGTGTTTAGATCATATCCCATTCGGAACGATTAATTTTTACTTGCGTATTTTGCCGAACAACATTTAAAAAAATTTACGTAGCAATATTAATAACAACAACACACGTGCCTTGTTCCACAGATATATTATTGTTTGTTACTTAAAATTGCTTTATTACGTGGTCTTTATTTTGTTAACTTTATTGATTTTACAGTGGGTTATTTTATTAATTCATGGATGTAATAGTTCTTAAAGGTTAGTGTTTCTTTCATATACATAATTCTTAATAATATAATAACAATAGTTATTATATTATTAGGAATTATGTATATGAAAGAATTATGTATATGAAAGAATTATGTATATATATATATATATATATATATATATATATATATATATATATATATATATATATATATATATATATATATATATATATATATATATATATGATATATATATATATATATATATATATATATATATATATATATATATATATATATATATATATATATATATATATATATATATATATATTTAAGTAATTACCATAACGAAACTCTGACAATAATAGAAAAAGAGTCAGTTGAGTTTTTGCATTTTTGCGTTGAAGTAAGATGTTTGTAAATATAGGATGCCTTATCTGAATTTAAATGTTCTGAAACCGTTGTTGTGTAGTGTCTGGTGTTTTCACCAATATATCCAGCATTACAGCTGGAGCAAACAAATTTATAATTTGTAGACAACAACTTGTTGTCTTTATAGACAACAAAGGATTTTAAATTTGGGGGTTAGGGGTTTTTGATGAAATCATACTACTTATTTTAAAAGTTGTAAAAACTAGTCTTGCTTTTATATTATCTTTACAATATTTTAAATGTATTTAATTAATTGATGTTGAAATGTATTTGAAAATTTTCCAATATAAGGGAATTTAAAGTAATGTATATCAGATGGTTTTGGAGATGACATGTTTTCTTTAGGAGAGACAAAATTGTTTAGTCAATTTTTGAAGGTTTTGTCAATTAAGTTGAAAGCAAAAGAGTTTTTGGAGAGTTTATTTAATTTTTACAATTTCTAGATGAAAACTTGCTGTTTTTTGAAGGCCCCATTGATCAGAGTTTTAATGAATCCTAGTTCATAATTAATATTAGTGAAGCTTTTAAAATTAGTTTGTAAAACTGTGTATTTTTTTTTGTAAAATTTTGAAGTATTAAACTTATAATTCACAGAGTTAATAATTATATCAATAAAGTTCAATTTGCGATCAACCTCTTTCTCTTTAGTAAGGGGTAACTTAATAAACTTAAGAACAGTCACAGTAAAGGGATGAGGCTTCATTGATGCATAAGTTCATGAGAATGAATTTTAGTAGATGGCACAAGAGACACTAGCGCCCATCATAGTATTTGTAGAAAAGAAAAAGAGAAGCAACATTAAGATGTGACAATGTTTGGAGGTTGGCTGCTAGAACAGGTCCAACTATGTTTACGATTATGCACCTTATCAAAAAGAGAAAGAGCATCATTGGAAGATCCACCCCAGATATGGCAACTATTCCATAAAAGTATGACAGAATCAATAGTAAGAATGCAGCAAGCCTGATAAGGAGATGCATGCTATTTTATTTTGAAATGGATTTGATATATGGTTTTTGAGAATGATCAGAGGTAAGAGTTAATTCTAGGAGCCAAAGTGTAGATGATTCATCAAGTATATTACCGTTCATAAAAATAGGAAGATCTCGATTATTGTGATAACGATTAGCTAAAAAATTAGCTAAGTCTTATCTGAGTTAAAGTTCATTAGTCATTCAAAGCCTATATATATATATATATATATATATATATATATATATATATATATATATATATATATATATATATATATATATATATATATATATATATATATATATATATATATATATATATTTATATATATATATATATATATATATATATATATATATATATATATATATATATATATATATATATATATATCACTGTTCTCCTAAACGAGCAATTAGTGTCAACTCAAATTCCAAAGAAACAACAATATGCCTGTAAAAGCTTTTGACTCTTGGATTCCAAAAATATAAAAAATCAAATCATCCTATTACGTCCGAGAAAGAAAATCACTTTTGAAAATTTTTATTTTGCACATATTCATGAAATGACAGCATTCTCGAAATTTTACATTTTTACAGCATATCTTAACATTCAAAAAGCTCTTTGAAAATAATAAAACCTACTTAACATAATAAAGAAACAAAAAATATGAATATGTGAAAGATTTTATGTTATAAAATTGGTAATAATCCAAATAGGTAAAAGATCACTTGGGTAAAATATTGCTTTTCTGAAAGTTTTTTCTAATGAGTTAACTCTAGAATAATTTCAATAATAGTTTGGTAGTAATCAAAATAGGTAAAAGATCATGTGGGTAAATACAAAAGAAATATTAAAATAAATTCCACAATTAAAGCAACAACATTCTTGACAAAAAAAATTCTTTACAAATTCCAAACTGTTCACAGACTTTTGCTATTAAATTTAACTAGGCACATTTCTAGCCTTTTTCCATAATATGGATGGCTGATAGGTCGTTTGTATTGTTGCCAATGGTTCTGAAAACGATGATGAATAGATTTTGTTGCTTGCTCAGTGTAGATTCCAAGAGGAGACCTTGTTTTTTGGATGAAGTCCTTAACATGGAAAAACACTGCATGTACTTTTGGAGTGATGCTTCCTCTTGGCAATGCCAAATATGAATCTCTGAATGAATCAATTTTTTCTGCATAAGTGCAATCCAACTTGTTGCCAAAACATGCAGAAACAATAAGACCAAACTTTTGAAAGCTGTCAATGATGCTGAAAACTTGAAAGGCACTGTCATTTTCAGCCAGTGTTTGGAGAAGGTCGAGATTTTTGAAGAGCTTGTGGCAATCATTCCCAGCAAATTGACCACCATGAAAAGGTTGGGGCTGAATGTGCAAAGCTTGGAGTCATTCAGCTGATTTGGGCCAAAGGCCTGTTAAAATCTTGAAC